TTTTTTTTTGTATTTTTCTTTCATGATTATTTACAGAAAAAACAAGATCCTGATAAAAAAAATGGGGTCTCGGGGTACTTCCGGTTGTATATTAGATAGGGGATATATCCCTCGGGCTCCAGGGACACCTGTAAAAGCGGCAAAACCCTCAGATGTTCGGAATTTCAAAGAAAAATAGAAGAATAGCAAAAAGAAAATATTTTAGGAATCGAAAAGAAATAAAACAAGATCGAAATTTGGAAATTTTTTTCAAAGATTTTTTTTCATCAATTCTCAAGGTCTGATCTCAATCTAAACTCGAATTGGTCTTCCTCGCGGCGAGATCCGGCCGCTGATATCCCATTCAGTCCGAAACCCATGAATAAAAAACTCCATTTCAATTATTTATATTCACAAAATTCATTTTTTTTTCGATTACCCCAGAAAGATTAAATCTCAAGGAAAAAAGGAGACCTGAGAAATTTATTCAGGGGAGGATTAATGTGCCGGGTATAGTGTCGTGTGGAGGCTTTAGCCGCCCCAGAATCCTCATCAGAATTTTCTATTCCCTTTTGGTCGATTTATCGCCAAATGCTGAGGGGTGAGGCGGTTTTATTGCAGATGCAACGTGCTCCCGGGGATTTTCAGACGATTGGAAACACCTCCCCCATTTGAGATATGTCACCCCCTCGCTCATTGTTACTCATTGTTGCGATGAGTGATCACAAGCGGAATGAAAAAGGGAGAAAAAAAATTGCGGAAAATTGTTGAATTCTTGTTTATTTCTGCACTCGCGATTACTATTTGATGTACTTCATATCATGAAACTGCATCAGTATTTTACATTCGGAGATGATCATTTGGGATCAAAAGGATGGAGAATAATTAATCAATTGAATTGTTGGATTGTGTTGTTAACCAATGATAGCATTATTTCTTCAAAATTCCACTCAATGACGAATGATTAATTATTGTATATAGAGGTGTGGTTGAGCGTTAATAGTCAGCGAGAGACATTGGCTGAATAAAACACTTGCTAATGAATTTGTTCAGTGCTTGAATAAAAATGAAAAACAAAAAGCCCGATTAACTAGATAGTATGCACTAGCAACGTGAAGACATTTAAATAAACATCCACCAATCATTCAGGACATGGCGATTTTTTAAATTGGTAGGCGCCACCCCTCGGCTATATTTCCATAATAATTAGCAACAAACTCGATTGACGGTAATTATGATTAATTGAGGTTCGCAATGACGAAGATATTTCGCTCAGTTATTTCTCAATTGTATTAAGAAGTAAGGTGAATTGAGACGGTGAATTCAATTCACTAAATCCATTATTGGTTTCATCTTCAGGTTTATTGATTAATCGAATATGAAAATGAATAATGAAAAATTTTGAATTGTCAGTGAAGATTGGATGTCTCCAGAGAAATTATGATAAAAATTTCATCATTGAGGTGTTGACATTTTTTATATTAGAAGATGATCATTTGGGATCAAGAGGATGGAGAATAATTAATCAATTGAATTGTTGGATTGTGTTGTTAACCAATGATAGCATTATTTCTTCAAAATTCCACTCAATGACGAATGATTAATTATTGTATATAGAGGTATGGTTGAGCGTTAATAGTCAGCGAGAAACATTGGCTGAATAAAACACTTGCTAATGAATTTGTTCAGTGCTTGAATAAAAATGAAAAACAAAAAGCCCGATTAACTAGATATGTATGCACTAGCAACGTGAAGACATTTAAATAAACATCCACCAATCATTCAGGACATGGCGATTTTTTAAATTGGTAGGCGCCACCCCTCGGCTATATTTCCATAATAATTAGCAACAAACTCGATTGACGGTAATTATGATTAATTGAGGTTCGCAATGACGAAGATATTTCGCTCAGTTATTTCTCAATTGTATTAAGAAGTAAGGTGAATTGAGACGGTGAATTCAATTCACTAAATCCATTATTGGTTTCATCTTCAGGTTTATTGATTAATCGAATATGAAAATGAATAATGAAAAATTTTGAATTGTCATTGGAGATTGGATGTCTCCAGAGAAATTATGATAAAAATTTCATCATTGAGGTGTTGACATTTTTTATATTAGAAGATGATCATTTGGGATCAAGAGGATGGAGAATAATTAATCAATTGAATTTTTGGATTGTGATGTCAACCAATGATAGCATTATTTCTTCAAAATTCCATTCAATGACGAATGATTAATTATTGAATATAGAGGTATTGTTGAGCGTTAATACTCAGCGAGAAACATTGGCTGAATAAAACACTTGCTAATGAATTTGTTCAGTGCTTGAATAAAAATGAAAAACAAAAAGCCCGATTAACTAGGTATGTATGCACTAGCAACGTGAAGACATTTAAACATCCACCAATCATTCAGGACATGGCGATTAAAAAAAAACCCACCCCTCGGCTATATTTCCATAATAATCAACAACAAACTCGATTGCCGGTAATTATGATTAATTGAAGTACGCAATGACAAAGATATTTCGCTCAGTTATCTTTCAATTGTATTAAGAAATAAGGTGAATTGAGACGGTGAATCCAATTGATTAAATCCATCATTTGTTTCATCTCCAGGTTTATTGATTAATCGAATATGAAAATAGGCCCGGAAATATTCCCAGTCGTCATTGGGGCTCCCCTATCCCCCTTCACCAGTTATTCCGCTCGATACAAATACTTTCATTTCTGTTTCAAAACACCTTCTGTCTTTCTGTTGTGTACATTTGGAAGGGGGTGAACAGGGGGTGGAAATCGATTTCACGGAAACATACCCTTAGTCATCCCGCATGGCGCAATGTGCATCCAGTGCATCAATAGTGCTGAAATTTTATACCCACTGGGACTCCAAGGAACATCACCCCCCCCCCCCCTCCCTCGACCCCCTTCGCCGCTCGACAATATCGTAAACGAAAAAATTACAAAAGTTCGTCGTCCCCCGCAATCCAGACGGGATCATCAAAGATTCATTGTGAACGAAAAAGAAAAAAACAACCGGAAAATTATTTTTCCAACTGAAGTTTCTTCTCTCCTCGATGAGGAAAAAACTTCGGAGACTAATGAAAATTTAATCAACTCATACACATGAAATAATCATTCCCCTCTATTTTTTTTTGTTAACGACAAAAACTTCATGAGTTTTTGTTCTAATCAGAATTTTTTATTCATAATACAAATGATAATGACTGACATGATCGTCATTACTCGTTTTATAAGTAAATGATAAAATGATGACATTTTAAAAAATAATAAATAATAAAAAAAATTGAATCTTCAACTCATTTCTAAATTGAATTTAAAAACATTAATCCTGAGGAATTGATAATTCTAATCGTTTCTCGATTTTTAACTGATAAAATTGATGAAGAGATAATAAAACTCGCGAGTAATTCGATTCGTTGCATTTACCGGTGAAAATTGTTTACAATTGTAATCTCAGTACTCACCCCCTCCAGCGACTCCTGACAACAGTAGAATGATAACTCTGGGGAAGTAATCCATGGTGAATTGATAAAACAGTTGATATCAGATAGCAGAAACTCGGATCCTAGTTGTACGATTTTTTTGCTTCAAAGAAAATTCACCCCTCCACTTTCACTCATTTCGCCGTAAAAATCCACTTCAACTTCATTTTTCCGGCTTTTTTTGGTAATTTTCACTGGAGAGGAAATTTTTTAAATGTCTGTTTGATCATATCCGATGGATTTTATCGGTATTTCAAGGGGAATTGAGGGAAATATTGGGGGTACACAACATCGTGGAGTGTGGGATGAAGTGCAACTGAGTCTCGAGAACACGATCAGACACTATTGACGCCATATTGAGACAAGCGTCTGTCCGGACATTTTTTTTTTAGCTCTGGTGGGGGCAGGACGAACTAGAATACCCAATGGAAAATTCATTGCAATTAAAAAGTACTAATTTTTCTGAATTTTCATTTTTTTAAATTAATTTTTATTACAGTCAATTACTTTTTCAAATTGCATCATAAATATAAAAATATCGACTGCTGGTAACACACCAACAATTGATAATTCTGCAGGTAGGTGAAACTTGCATTGCCGACTGCAGGTAATTATCCTGCATGTGGCAAAGGAGAGATCTCCCTTACCTTCTGCCGGTATAACCATTCGCTTTGTTTTTTACAAGCGGTATTTGTTTTGTAATTGTCAAATTGTCAATAATATGACATGATCGTGCATTGGCTGTCGGTAGTTAGAGGAGCCTGTTGACAACAGGGTTTTCTACCGAAACAGGTAAATAGATATCACCTCTCTCAGGTGAATTACGCAGAAAATTCCGGCGGTAATTTATAACATGTGTAAATTTGAAATTTTTGCATTCAATCACTCGTTCAAACTCGAAGATTTATCTGCCTAAGTAAAGAATAGCCTGGTTCTACCCTCTTTTTTATTGTTATTTTACATCGCTTCGACTCGGTTGAGTATATTGCGATGATGATCAAGACTTTAAAATGGTTAGATCTCACCATTCTGAAGTGGATGAAATTCCTCTAGAAGAGGATGAAATTTAAGATTAAAAAGTCAAAATGATGGAAAAGAAATTGGAACATGAGAGAAATTTCTAAGTATGCTGGATCATTGAGAATTCTTGCACATTTTCTTCAGATCTCAGTTTCAAGAAAAAAAAATGAAATTTTGATGTTTTGTGACCCCTCCAGTTATAACCTCCGAGGTTACCCCCCTCTCAATTAGGGAAATTTCCATGGCACCCAAAAAAATAATGAACTATTGAGGAAAAACTAGTGGGTGATAAATCAAATTTTTCTTAAGAACACGTATAGGTTTCAAATTTTTTCAGATTTCATAAGACAGTTATTTGAACAAATGATTCGGAAAATTATGAGTTTCAAGGCAATTACGCCCTCACGCGCAGGCGCGTGATTCGAATGTCAGTGAACATCATGAGAAAAGTATGGGTTGGACCATGGAACTGAGAGAGAGAAAACACTCGACAAGTTTACCAACTCGAGACGCATTTTAATAATAGTTCAATAATTAGAATAACCCCCAATAATAGTATTTTTCCGGCTTGCGATGGGGCTTTTTACTCGTGNTTCGAGTTTGGGAAGTATGTAATACCAATTCCCAGACGAGAAATCGTGAGAAGCAGTACAGAAAAAATTATTTGACACCCGTAGGTGATGAGAAAAAAATCAATCAATCTGATAAATAAAATCAATATTCAAAAAATGTTCAAATGCACACTTAAATAGTCACTGGAAATTGGAAAATTTCGTGTTCAGCGATTGACTAAGGGCTCGAGAACAATAAGACTCTCCTTCCGTTTAACCCCCCGGTGATCTGCACACGAAACACCTTAAATGAAACCTCTTGATAATTTGTCGGTGGCTATTTTGTACCTCGGGAATAATGGATGTGTCAGTTGTCAGTGGGAAAATTGTCAACGGATAAATTGTCGGTTATTTTGTCGCGGAAATTTTTCAACGATTCAATGGGCTCTAGTGAATAAGGCATATGAAACTGCAAAAACTTTATTACATTCATACAAAAGCCTGAGCGAATATCATCATTTTCCGGTGAAGTAGTTGGCCTTGACAAACGGCATCTTCGTGAGAGTAGCTTTATAAGTTTTCCCGCGCACCTCCACCAGGACACCTCCCCCGTTCTGCGCGAGGTCCGGAGGAACATAGCCCATCGCTATTGGTTTCCCTAGGGTTGGGCTTGGTCCTCCTGACGTGATAACCCCAACTCTCTCGCCTTCAAGGGTCAGAATCGGTGCGTTTTCCCGGGCTGGTGGACCTTGTCCGAGCATCAGACCCACTCGCTTCTTCATGACGCCCACTTTGATTTGCGTCAAAATGCGCTCGGCGCCGGTGAAGTTGCCTTCTGCCCTGCGTCGTTTGGCTGCAAGTAAAAGTGTCAGTCATGCATGAAGCGATTTGGGGGAGTGGAATCGTGAGGATTATTCTTACCGACGAGCCAGGCTAGTCCAGCTTCTATTGGTGTAGTGTCTTCATTGATGTCGTGGCCATACAGACATAATCCTGCCTCCAATCTGTCGTTTTAAGATGAGAAAATATTGAAACTTCAGGGATTAAGGGTAAAAGCAAAAAAAAAACGAAGAAGATGAGAGGATTATGACGATTCCGAATAAATTACTCAACAATTAAATTCTCATTGTGAAAAACTTTGTTGAAACCATTCATTTTTTCGGCATTATTATTGAGATAAAAATTAATGAAAGTGAGAAACAGTAAAGTTTTACCATTCTGACACCCATGGAAAACTATACGCGCCTTGTTCTAGTACGGGAAAAGACAAGGCTCTTGGGGGGCGTTTTAGAATTGAGATAGAGAGCTGAAATTTTGAGGGGATCGAGATACGCGGTAGCGTATCGGCCAAGAAAAGTTTTGACCGACTGAGCAAAACATCAGACCGAGCGCCCCGCGCATCTATACACGACAGAACTTCCCCCTCCACTACCTCTAAATGATTTACATTCGTTATAATGAGAACGGGACGACAAATCGGACGACAAATCGGGACAAGTGTCGTTAGTTACATTATATAAATCGCCTATGAGCTTTTCAACGGTGTAATTTGCTTTATTTATTCCGAGTCTTCGAAGGGGCGGCACGTCAAAAATTTCGGAAAGGGTGCCAAAATGCTGTGAGAGTAAAAAAAATTGATGTTTACAACAATTAAAGAAACTCAAAGAGCGTAACAAGACTTTATTTTTCCAGTGCGACTTATCGATGCTGAACCTCAGCGAAGAGTGATTCGTCGGGACAATACATCGCCCCGAGGAATCTCGAAATTCTCTCCTACCTCCACCATAATCTACCGATGATAGTGCGGAGAACCCGCGTAAATTTGTGTGATAAAGGTAACAGAGATCAGAACAATCATCAATTTGAAAATAAGTTTTTTTTATCGTTATTTTACATCGCTTTGACCCGGTTAAGGTATACTGCAATGATGATCAAGATTTTTAATGGTTAGATCGCACCATTCTACCCGGTCGGGATTTGAACTCGGAACCTTTCGCATGTGTTTAAAATAAGTTAAATTTAGCTTCTGTTAACCGATAATCTCGCTCAGCAATTTTCAATTACCAAATTAATCATCAATCGAATATTCAAATTCCGAAATAATCTGTTAACCAGTAATGGGGTCACAAGTTTGACCATTACATGTGTAATTGAAAAATCCTTTTATGAAATTTAGAATTATTTACTCAATGGTTAATAAAAAATTAAAATTACGAATTAATTTAATACTTTCAAATTTCAAGTAAGATAATAAAACCATAGTAATAGAAACTTTCAATTTCTAATAATATTACAAAATATTACAAATGTAGAGATTGGCGACCGATCGCTGAAAGGCAATCTCACAGTTATCTTTTCAAAATAAAATACCACAGCGGTCAAAAAATCTCAACTGGATTAACCAAATGTTCAAGGACTTGGTCAAGCTCATCATCATGCAGACAATTCGATTCCAACATTTGCACCGAACCAGCCCCCTGACACAGAATCCAATGCCCCTATACAATACGCGTGTCCGCATTATCGAGGCTGTGTCTAACGGCCACAACGCGGCGCTGGATTACACCTGACTGACCCCGTCCATTCTCCCAACTGCCGCCATTTCTCTGCTCTGTTTTAAAGGAAACGCCGGAATAACTCGTATTGTATGGTTTGAAAGTGAGATTAAACTGACATAATTATGCCTCCTTGTGCAGTCGCTAATTGCACATCAGGTTATCAGTCTAATGCCAACAAATTCCATTTCTTCACGGTTCCGAAAGCGCGAAAACCGTCAAAGAGTGGGGGATAATTGTGAAAAGTGGGGAGCCGTCAGATGACTCTCCGCGCCATCTGTAATGGCTTCAATATGAGGGACACTGAAAACACTGTGTAACAGGGGGCTGTACCGAATGCTTCAAGCTCGTCTTACCTTAGACTGTCCCTTGGACCCAATCCCGCCAATTTCACCTCATCCGCCTGCAGAATCATCCCCGCTAAACTCCTGGCATCCTTTCCCCTGACAGAAATCTCGAAACCATCTTCTCCCGTGTACCCACACCTGGTGATTCTCACGTTGCAGCTGGCGATCTGCGTCTCCACTGAGTTCATGAAGAACAACTTGGTTAAATCGATTTTCACAAGGGTCTGGAGAACCTTCGCTGCCATTGGCCCCTGCAGAGCCAGCAGACCCTGGTCGAGAGGGTCCAGGTACTCCAGCTGGATCTTCTTCCCTCGTTTGACGAACTCGTCCTGCAAGATTTCGCTACGTTACTTTTTGGCTGAAGATGGTCATAGCCGACGATGACCTGTGCAGATTCTGCAATGAAACAAAAGAGGACAGTCTGCACATTCTGTGTGAGTGTCCAGCACTGGCGGTGCTAAGGGTACGATACTGGGAAATTGCTTTCCCCAGGGGTCAGAATAAGGGTCGTAAGGGTCACAAGGGTCGGATTAAGGGTCACAGGGATTAGATTGAGGGTCACATTGGTCAGGTTGAAGGTCATAAAGGTCATATTAAGGGTACGAGGGTCAGAAGAAAGGTCATAAGGGTCACGAGATCAGAATAAGGGTCGCGAGGGTGAGGATAAGGGTCACAAGGGTCGGATTAGGGGTCACAGGGATTAGTTTAACGGTCACAAAGGTCAGATTAAGGATCACAAGAGTCAGAATAAGGATAATGTGGGTCATATGGCGGTCAGCGAGTGGAGCGAGCCGGTGGCGTAGCCTCTTGGTAGTATATAGAAAAATATGAAAACGAGAAAAATACATCATTTGAAATGATAATAATGCTTTTTAGTAAAAGCATAGTAAAAATATGAAAATGTTTTTTTTAGATATTTAAGTTTTGTTATTGATGACATAAGGCGCCAAAAAATCGGTAGGGTTAAAAAAATCGGCGCCAAAAAGTCCTGTTTCGGCGAGATTTGCCTTAGTAATTTGGGATTTTGTATTCTATTTGTGTGGCGTTACCAGCCGTTGGTTCAGAAGTTCCATGTCCTCTTTCCGTCTTCCGGCATTGGACACCACGAAATAACGATCCTGTCCGTCTTTGGTGATGATGAGATCATCAAGGATCCCACCGTTATCATTGGTGAATATCGTGAGTGATGCTCCGCCGGATTTGAGATTCTTCAGATCAGCTGTTGTGAGACTCTCCAAGAATTCTCCCGCGTCTTTTCCCCACACTCTCGTCTGCAACATGTGCCCGACGTCGAATAGTGACGCGGAGGTGCGTGTATGTTGGTGGGACACTGCGATAGCGTCTTTGTATTGTACTGGCAGGAGCCAACCGGCAAAATTGACTACTTTTCCTAGATGATTTGAAACAAATGTTTTCCGAATTCAGTAGTGGAGCGGTAAAATGGTTTAACCCCTCACGTACGGCGCCCATGTAACGCGGATTGTCCCAACGGTCGGAGACTTACGGCGCGTCAACTTCGCTATTCAATGAACGATAACTAGAAAATAGTCGACCGAAAGAAAAATTGAAATAAAATGCATTGGCTGTATTGAACTTTGAAATAAACTCGTAGAGAATTTCCTAATTTTTTACACCAATTTCAATATTTGCCGACAATTGATTGCCGAGATCTTCGAACATGCTTAATTTATTTATAATGAAGAAATTCAACAAATCGAAATTTAACTTATCCCATTCGATAGAAGGATCATGGAAGTGTTTTCAGTAAAAATTTCAAAAATTTTGGAGGAAATTTTGGCGATAAACGGATGATTTAATATGATTGAATCTGTTGGATGTAAAATTTTCATCTACAACTTTTGTTCATATAAAAAAAGTATTATAAATGCATTGAAAAAATGATAAAATAAAATAGTTCACTGCAGAGGCAATTGCATTGACTTTCCAAATATCTTTTCCAAATGTCAATATGTAAATGCATGGTATCGACGCCATGAGTGAAGGATTAAATCGGTTTAGGCCTGATTTTTGGAAGAATATCGCCGAATCTAAAGGAGATAACGAAAATTTCGTAATGACCTTTTTAGTAGCCCTCAATTCGCCCTACAAGAAAGTTACTAACCAAAATTTTGCCATCTCCGTGATATTCCGAGATATTCATCGGAAACTGGTGAATAGTCAAAATCAATTTCATCTGTTTTACCGCTTCGCTATTGAATTGATTGTAAGAAGCCGTGAGACAAAAAAAAATACTACAATACACGGAAAACTTGGTGGCATGAATTCTCAGTGAAAAGGGGTCGAAAAAATCTGAAAGATATCTGTGTTCTCTTCTTAGGAACTGGATGCAATGAGTTAAAGATGCTCCAAAGGTGATAAATAATTATAAAAAGTGTTCAAAAACACGAGGTGGTTGGGAGATGCCGGCGCCGCCATATTGGATACTCCCTTCGCATGCCGCAAGGGGACTCAAAGATGGCGACGATCCCACCTCGCATTTTTAAACATTACTTTAAACCCTTCAACGCCCTCGGATCACCCCCAACTCATTTCATTCAGTTCCTAGGAAAAGAACAAATTTTTTCGGCCATCTTTGAGATTTTTCTCATATTTCCTTATTTTTTTTCCACTCCCGAGGCCTCTTGAGATACAATTGAAGTACTTACCATGGTTCTCCACATGAAAGTCATACAGACACGTTTTCCTGGCGTCCGTCTCTGTTGAATACTCGCACTTTCGATGGCATTTCAAATGACTACAGGCTAAATTAATAGAACTCACATTACCGTCAAGAACTTCGCCGATTCTGGCCGCATGCCAGAACTTCTGACTGAATCTCAGCATCTTGCTTCTCACACAGCTGATCCTCTACTGGGAGAAATGATTTTTTTTCTCAAACTCGGCGATGGTGTAATGTCCCCGATATGCAGTGATTTCACATAGAGGGATTCATTCGGATAAAACTCGGCGCGAGATAAACTCTCGATGTTGTCGGTTTGTTATTGTGCCTGGGGGAAAAGGTTTCGGTGGGTCTTATCGATTCACTCCACTGCCTGACCCCAGGGTCATGTCAGCTAGACGTCGATAACCATTAGTGCGAGGGGATCATCTAGTATTTTCAAACTCACGTGATCAATTTTTTTTATAATCATTTTAAGGGTATGCAAGTAGCTTGGGCTATTTTTTTTTGGGGAAAATCCTCTTCAGATTTTATAGAACAGACCAAGAGTATTTTTTAGGCGCAATATCAACTTCAGTTTCCGATCATTTTTTCGAGAAAACTATTTTCTAAAAAATGAAATTTAACAAATTGAGTCCATAAGAGATGTATATTCTCATACCTTCAATCCAGTAGTTCATGGTGTTTAAATCGTTTTCTCGTACACATAACCGTATATGATTTTGTCCGTTATGCTCTTTAGTTTTTTTTTTGCGACATTAGGTAATTAAATTAAGGTGTATCATCTGTAGATCACCGCGTGGTGAAACGGAAGGGGTCTTATTGTTTTCGAGCCCTGATTCAATCGTTGAGCACGAAATTTTCCAATTTTCAATAACTATTTAAGTGGGCTTTTGAACATTCTTGAATATTGATTTTATTTATCAGATTGATTGATTTTCTCATCACTTACGGGTGTCAAATAATTTTTATTGGATGTTATTCTCATTATTGAAATAATATTAAAATGCGTCTCGAGTTGGTAAACCTGGCGAGTGTTTTCTCTCTCTCAGTTGCATGGCCCAATCCATACCTTTCCCATGATGCTCACTGACATTCAAATCACGCGCCTGCGCGTGAGGGTGTAATTTCCCCGAAACTCATAATTTTCCGAATCATTTGTTCAAATAACTTTTTTATGAAATGTGAAAAAAATCTGAAACTTATACGTGTTCTCAAGAAAGATTTAATTCATAACCCACAAGTTTTTCCTCAATAGCTCATTATTTTTTTGAGTGCCATGGAAATTTTCCTAGTTGAGAGTGGGGTAATCTCGGAGGTTACAGCTTGAGGGGATACAAAAACATCCAAATTTCATTATTTTCTTTCTTGAAACTGAGATCTGATGAAAATGTGCAAGAATTCTCAATGATGCAGCATACTTAGAAATTTCTCCCATAAATTTTCCAATTTTTTTTCATTATTTCGACTACTCGAACCGAATCTACGAGTTTATATAAGACATGTACAGTGTTGCCGTGCGATCATCAGAGATTAGGCTAACGAAAGTCAAGTGTGAACTTGAATATAATATTGTTCACAATAGTCATTGAAGAAATTTCCGAAAAAATGTATTCAACAATGAAAAATCGAAAAAAGTATGAGAAGTGCAAGATTTTCGGCAAAAATTGAATGTTGCTTGAAAAAAAGTTGCTAACTTGAACAAAGTTCTTGGATATCCTTAATTATTTTGGGAATTCATTGAAAAATGAATGGAGCATGTGATGATGGATGAATTGAAAGATGCGAAACTCTTTTGAATTCGAATGGCCATTCGATTCTTTATTGTACCACGTAATGATTTTTTTCTTTAGATTCTTGTTGTTGTTTTTTTTTGACAATAGTTGCGGGATGACAATAATAAATGGTGATAATTGGGGGAAACAATTCGGGACGATTGAGGAAAATTATCATTAACGATCTTGTCATTTGAGTTTCTCTCGGTAATCTTGTTGTTAGTAGACAAAATTTTGACATTTTTTTTATTTTACTTTTTTTCTTTTTATTTAAATACCTTTTACATCATAAATGTTCTCGTGTTTACACAATTAATGCAAAAATGTCCCTACAGTCCGACGAATAATTCACTTTTAGTCGTTCTTTTACAAATCGATGATATTTTTTTTCCCTCTTACAGTTTTTTTTGGTGGATTCATATTTTTTTCCCTTGCAAATCCATTCATTCATATAGGGGAAGGAGGGGAAAATTGATAGTGGATTTTTTTCTGATTTTCTTTCTTTCTTGTGAAATGTTTTTTTTTCAGAGAGAAAGACCAAGAAGAATGGGGAAGAGGAACTCTGGCGAATGAAATTTTAATTCTTGTCATCTGGGTTTTTTTATTTCTCCGATATGTCGATCATCTTCATTAACAATTTTTCATTTGTAGGTTTTGATCCGTGGAATTCTAATTTTTAATGCGAAAGAAAATACAAAGTGTAACGAATAAAATTCTTCGATTCCATTTCCCCATTGTTCCTGCCATTTTCCCATCGGTTTTTCGTACATTTAATTTTCATTTAAACATCTTCAGGAAAAAAGATTCTTCATAGGGGAAACGCTCCTGTCAACATACAATGTACAATGATTATACCGGGAGAACCATCGCTCCCAGCTTAATAGTTACCGATAATTAATTTTTGCATTTTTTTTGCCTAAAATGTTAATTTTCTCGTGTGTGTGTATTTCAGTGTTTTTTTCACTCTTATCGACTTAAGCCTTAACTATACATAATCACGACTCAAATACATTATATCATCACTTCCGTATATAGATACAACGCCATAATTTTGTTACGATTTTTCATCCCCTCCTCAATTATTATTTTTTCGCTTTACAATTATATGACAGTGAAATTAACTGTTAATCTTTAATATTACATTTTTTTGTAGTAAATCATTGGGTCGTCGTCGCATAAATATTAACTCGTAATCATTTGTAAAATCAAAATAGGTACAATTTGGACGCTCTTTTTGGATATTTTTACCGTATTTTTCTCATTCAAAAAGACGCTCCGAAATGTATTTTTTGTTTCTTCTAATAATGCCCATCGATTGCGATTTCTAGTCCACTTGGTAATAAAATTTTGTCCCTCTCACACCTCACGCAATCACCAAACAATTTTTCACATTTTTTTTTTTGGTAATTCCACACATTCAATAATTTTAGATTCTCGAAAACGCCATTCACAGTTTTAAATACTCCCCTCTCGATTTAATTTCTAAAATCTTAATTTTAATACAGAGCAAAAAGTCAGTCCAAGGATGGCGTCACTTTCCTCACTATCTCGAGACGCATCAAAACCTTAATTTCTACATTTTTTTTCTCCTCATTTAGTTAAATTGCCCCTCTTATTTACAGAATATCGAATATTTCATTTTCAGCATCTCGAGACAATTTCAATAATTTTCTTCTGTACAATTAATAATTTTTTATCATTCACCAGGTATCAAAAGAATTATAAGCTTTTTAAAAGACGTGAATTTGGCAGCAGATAAGATGACGCCCCCATTTGGAGAAACTTGGAAGCTCAAGAGACCATTCTTTTGTGAATTTTCGTTCTTTCATAATCACTCTCCTTAGTCTAATTCTACTCAATGACCGTTAGGTTTCCTTTTTGTTCCTGGAAAAAAAATCTCTCACTCGAAACACTCTCTCCTTAAATTTCAATAATGATTGATTGAGGTTAGCCTAAACATTTGCCTAGATCTCTTAAAAGTCCTCTCGTCATGAAATTTTCAACAATTTTTTTCAGTTGTCATTCTTTTTGGAAGTACCTATTTACAAAATTCAATATTATGCGCTCCGAACTCTATGAATTTCAATCAGTCCAAGTGCTGAAAAATTTACAGAAATTTATTGAATCGAATGAAATAAAAAAATATACGCACGAAAAAATTTAGTGGAAACACCTGGCGAATTTGCTAGACAATTCTATTGGATTTCCATTGAATCGTCTGTTAGCTTTTAGCCGATTCTATTGGCTTCTTCAGTAGGACATATTCAATAGAAAAAGTCAATGGAATTTCATTGTTCTATTTAACTTATTCTATTGAGATATTTTCTATAGAATTTTCTCGGTTCAAATTCTCCATTTTTAAAAATCTATTTTTCTTTCCTTTTCTACAGAAAATGTTTCAGTAGAATAAATTGTATAGAAACATCGAGTTCTATCAACTTTTTCTATAGAATTTCTGTGGCTCAAATTTTCGACTTTTTTTTTCATTCTATTTTTCTTCTCTTTTCATCAAGAAAATTAAATGAAAAATTCTATAGAAAATGAGAAAAAATCTATAGAAAATATTTCACCAGAATAAGTTGCATAGAAACATCGAATTCTAATGACTTTTTCTATAAAAGTTCTTGAAACAAAAAACTTGGGAAATTTTACCGAAAAAATTCTATAGAATATATGAAATAAAAAAATCAATAAAAAATATCTTAATAGAATAAATTGTATAGAAACACCGAATTCCATTAACTTTTTCTTTATAATCTTTTTCATGGAACATTTCAATAGAATCGGCCAAAACGTGATAGAAAGTTCACTGGAACTCCAATACAATTGTCTACCGAATCCGCTAGGGTTTCCTATGAAATTGTTTCACACGTGTATTTAAAAGTCTTCAACTCTTCTTATTCGAAATATTGTTGTTCGGCATCCATAACTAGATCGTGATAATATTGTATATTAAATCATAACATCATGTCAATGCGTGAACTCAATCGTAACCGAAGGATACATACGAAACAATGACTTTAGCAAATTTTTCCAATATCTTTTGCAATCAATTGATTCGAAATTGCACATTCACGTGACTCATCGTCACAATATACGTTTTATTTGTTCTGTTTTGTTTCTTTTTCATTTTTTTTTACATTAACAGTCAACAATATTACTCTAATTGTACAAATCATGCTATTTCGAAACACTTGATAACAACCTTATTACGAAAAATGCTTGAATCAGTTTAAAGAAAAATGGAGAAATAAGAGAATAGCGAATAACTATTTTATAGACAATAATAGCTCCTCAAAAATTTTTTATGAACTAAGTTTAACTGCGTAACTAGTAGTCGTCATTAATCGGAATTTATTCAACAATTTTCATCATCAGTTTTTTTGCATCTTTTATTTTCACCCAGAACATTTATTTTTCCTGTTTCTCAAAAATATATTTTCCAATATTAAAAATTAAACTGAAATATTCAAAATAAAACGTAATAATTA